TTTTTTCATGCTCTTTCTAACGATGTATCACATGATGGGGGTTGCCATTTGAAATTTTTGAGTTGCCCCCCGCCCCCCCTCCCCCTGGGGGGGGTGAAGAACTGAAAAGTCCCTCAAAAAGTTTCCTCCTCGATATGAGGAAGGACGCCACAAACCGCAAATCGATATCATAATTAGAACTAAAGTTATGGCCAGTGGTGCGTAACTTTTGAATAACCCTGTAGCTTCAAAACCTCGATACCACCTGGTTTGCATTAAGATGAGGGAAAGAACGTGACTGTTTGTTTTCGCTAGTAACCCACCAAAAATATGCAAAGAAAGCAAAAAAAAAGAACGGAACTCCGCTGCGATAATTTTTGCATTTCATGTATTGTGTTTTCGGATTAATTAGGGACTGGGGAGAATACCTTCGTATTTCACAGGTTCAAACCTTGCTTTTAAATACGCGAGAGCAGGTCGAAGTGGACAACAGAAAAGATCAAGTGGACCATCGAATAATTACCCGCAAGCTGAGGGGGGGTTGGAGGGTGACGTTTGAAGGGGAGGCCGAAAACGACGGATGGCCGCGCGGAAGCATCAACAAATAGTGACCCTGACCTTTCACACCTTCGGACCCAGCACCGAATTTAGGGGCGGGGGAAGAGAAAAGCACCCTCCGGCCCCCATCACAAAGGGGTCTCCCACCAAAAGATAATTATTATTATTTTTTTATTATGTTAGTTTCCTATCATCATCGCAAAGGCTTTAAAATGCATTTAAAATTGAGTCAATATCCACAATTTTCTAGGGCCTTTACTTCCTGGGGGGGAGGGGGAGGTATTCCGTGCTGCCCCTCCAGATGCAATTACAGAGTGTGTAGCGTCGCACAAAGCGAGGCACACTGTTTTTCATCGGCATCACTAAAGATCTTCTTCGAACCTTGCAGCGAGGTTTCTGCAAGGTGCTATTACTTTAATAGAAGTTTTTTACCTGAGTTTATATCAAATAGCTACCCAAATCTCCATATTAAAGCTGTATAAAATGTTTTAATTTTTTCTTCAGGCACATACGGTGATGAGTCAGGGGAAAAGTGCGAGAAACTAGCCGCTGCTATAACGAAAAATGACAAAGAGACACGCCTTGAGGATGTTTCGTCTCTCAGCGGAAAATGGGTGTCTGAGAGGTAAGTTAAGCAGAATTATACTGAATTTTTAATGAACCGTCAATTTAAAAAAAAAAAATATCGAGATTTTTTTTTCACCAAGTGGTATGCAAGGATCAATGAATATATTTTGATTTTTGGCCAAAATACTAGAGCTTCAAATTCAATCCTTTGAAGTATTCACTTTGTATTAGTTGCACCAATATTATATTGTAATTCTGGAGTTTTAAATGACACCTTTCATTCATGGGCCCTGTACATGAGAATAATTGCAGCGCATCTTCGTTATGTGCGAATCTGCACATCTCAAATATTCCAGCGCGGCCCCTTTGAAGGAAGGGTATTTGGAATTCTGACGAGTGGACTGAAAGATTTACAGCGATAGCGGCACTTGCATTTATTCAAGTTCAACTCCGGCAGCGACTATAAATTACTCTAACTTGGGAGACAATGCTGGGGTGGAATAAACATGCCATCATGTTGTCAGATCACCGAAATGACTCGAGCGAGGAAACTCGAGACTAATATCTTTGGATAAATCGAGGATCAAAATAAAATCGTACGCAGTATTAATTAAAAAGAAAAAATATTTTATTAATTTCCACTGACCAGAATAAGAAATAAAAACAAAAATATATGTAAGTAATATTGGAACTTTTTTATTCCAACAACACTGCATTTATTCGACATTGGAATGAAGAAAGGGTGGTTGGGAGCTGTCAACGCGAGAGGCATTTCATGGGACGTTGTCGAGTTGCTGAGTCCTGTACATGAATGAAATCATTATAAGGCTCAAAGATTATTTTTAAATTCGAAACTCGGCACCACTGTTCAACCGAGGTTGAATTTGTATTCTGAAATGGTCACTGTTTGGTCCTGCTGGATTATTATATGCGGCGAATCGTATTTTTGTTTATTGTGTTGCTTGCTATTTCCATTTATCGGAGAGTCAGTCGTGGGATGTCCGATTATTTATTTCTGATCATGCAAAGAGAAGTTGTCAAACGAAATTCGATACCGTCAGTGTCTGGAACTGCGGAGCTCTTGGTAAAATAATTTTTACGTTTGAACTCTAAAATTTTTTCTCTTGGTCATCAATATCTTAAATTATCTATTAATTCATGTGCGATGCGATCTGGGATTATGGGTCTCGGGTCAACATTTTGATAATTAATTTTTTTGTACTCACATAAACCTTTTTTTTAATAGCTTACTTTCTTGACCGTGCGTTTGAGTCTCCAGCCAATACCTTAACAGCTCCCTTTCCTTTTCTTTAAGTGGGCTCATTTGGATTATACTGTGATTAAGGGAGGTTCAAGGAAGCCTTCAATATAGCATTTTTAGATAGACAATTTTTGCCAATCTCGAGTAAAATTCAGCAGAATAATTTTGGAAATGAATCTTTGCAACAATTAACAACCAACATAATTACAAGGGTTACAATGGCTATACGAAAGAATAAGTCTATGATTTACGCAATTTTCAATACAGGCGCAAATCTAACTTAAAATTTACAAAACTCGCAAAATATATTCTTCCGTATTTTGTATTTTTAGTAGTGGTAACTCAATATAATTCCTTGAGGGCCCATTTTAAAGTTAATGCGGAATTTTACTCAAGGTTGGCAAAAATTGTCCTTTCTATGATGCAACGTTATATATTCTTAAACCGCCTCTAGTCTTGATGTAAACCAGATGGGATCTCCTACACATGCACGGAAAAAGGAGGTAGGGGTTAGGTCCCAACTTGGACATTTTCAATTAATTGTGGCAGTGCCCCACAGCCCCAATCCCCAAATAAATCAAGTCCCTAACCGAAATGTTGCGGTACTTACTACCCCAATTTGCAGTGCTACCATAGTAAATTGGAAATATCCATTTCATCCAAAAAATTGGGGTAGCACTACTATTTTAGGAGATAACCCCTAATATTGTTTCCACGTAACCCTACGAACCTCATTCCGATCAAAAGCGTTTATTTGAAAGTGAAACTCCTCTTGATGACGTTTTCTCGAATTTACAGATGTGAAATCCGGTCGGGTCCCGAATTCCTTTTGCGGAGTTATATTTTTTCCAAAAACGACACTTTCCACTTAACGCAGTACTTCTACAGGGACGAGTCGTGCTCGACGCCTCTCTACGCGTTGAACGCGTGGGGCAAAATTCAGTTCCACGGGCCGTCGTGGGTGACGCCCGGCGCGACGGCGGGGGATTTCACGCTGTCCAGGGTGGCGATTCTGGCGCAGAATGACAGGGCCGCCGAGGACCTTTGGACCAGGTTCAACTCCAGTTGCCCGTCCCTCGGCAGGAGGAAATGGAAGCCCTACAAGGAATACAACATCCTCGACGAACCGGAGATATTGTCCAATTCGGCCCCGATTCACGGTTTCAAGTTCACCGATGGCTACCCTCGGAAAAAGTACATCCCTTCCGACTCAATAGGTGAATTTTTTTGAGTGGAATTTCTCTTTTTTGTTTAGAAAGGCTCCTAGATAGAAGCGGCATGATGAATCTGTCGTAAACTTTTGCTGAAATGAATTTAATGAATAGAGGGGTTTTATTTTTAAATATGGAAAATGGCTTGAGAATCAAGATGAGTGTATCAAAGAGGTCTAAAATTCTCCTCAAATGGAGAATAATTGCAGGTGTCTCTATTTTGATGAATTTCACGTTAAAGTGGAAACTACATTGAGTGAACTGGCGCGAGAAAATCTGTGATCTCTGAATTTAACGATCACTGGAGAATATACGACCAATTGACCTAATCTGCTAAAATACATGAATTCAAATGGATATGGATTATGCCGCTTGATGACGTGACAAGGTGGCACATTTTTTCACTTCACAATATAATGTTCCATCATTTTCCATATCAGATAATTAACAAACGATACTGCGAACGCAGTTTCTGAAGCACTCTCAGATGAAGCAACGAATTGTTTCCATGCAAATTCTCAATTTCGTATTAGATTCGCATGAAGCATGATGATTCTTCAATTTGCCGCAAAGAGTAATTCTTTCTCGATTCGAGCTAAATTTCTCCAGGATAAAGAAAACAATTCTTGTGGTCAAGCAATGTATAATACATATAATACATAATGGAAATGATGATGAAATAATTTTTTGCTCAAATGCGCTGTTTATGAAACTTGTTTTCTCTGAATGATGAGGAATAGACTTTATTAGAGATACAGTAGATTAACGATAAAAAATTCTGAACATAATTTCTCGAACACATGTAACGAGGAACTTTCCTGCAATTCAAGGAGAAAGTTCTAGATTATTTCAGTTACTCATTATTTAATTTTCTTGAAAAAAGCATTAGTAATGAACTTAACTCAAACACCAAGATATTTTTCTCCATGATGAAGTGTGTAATGTGTAATATTTCATTTCACCGCTTTTACAGGTATGAGTCGGCAGGCTGCCTTCTCTACAACCGTAGAAGACTCGACTTGCATTCAAAATTTGCACCCACTTTTCAACGAGCTCCAGCTGGTCCGGATTCAAAAAAGGCCCCCGGGACCCCTGAATCCGCGCTTTTTCCGTCAAGAGATGTTACTTGGGGACATCCGTTCTAGATTTGAAAATCGAAGTCAGAACCAACCAACCGTCCTTCACACGCCTCTCATAAGAGTTGAACAGGTAAAACATATACGGCACGGTTTTATATTAAAAAATTGACCGACGTATCTTTGCTGTATCATGCAACAGTGGTTTGTTTGCTGATTTTCCACTGTTCCTGCGGGCTGATTCTTGAAATCGATAGGCAAAGCGATTGACATAGGAGCCAAATGAAAATGAAGCGATCCTATTGGTTGAATGGAGTCGTTGATGTTGATTCGTCGACCCCTCTCGAAAGGACTTAGCTACATTTCAATATTTCCAAATTTCTCCTCTTAAATTGCATTTTTACCAGGAGAATCTTGGACTTTTTAAACTTAACAGTTCATTGATTTTTTTGCTGACAAAAATCAGACTAATCTTGGACAAATATTGCACGGGTGCTTTCTTGTAAGAATATTGAATCGTTTGAGTGAATTTTGCAACCTTGAAATGGAGTAACTTTCCTTCGTCCGGGAAACGACGGAATTTAGGGGAAATGGTAGATCAATTTGACGTTTTTCTGCCAAACGGAATTATGTGCATTTAAACATGAGCCCTGAGACCCATAAGAATGTATGCATGACAGGGCTCACGTCATAATGCACATTGTTCCGTTTGGTAGAAATAGTCCAATTATAGGACCTTTTGTGGGCTGCCGTTACTAGGATCGTCGATTTTGATCATACCCACCGTGTTTTTAGTACGCTTACCCCGTTTCTACATTGCAGCCACCTGCTTCTCCCAATAATATCGCTCCATTTTGCCTTTGTCTCCTTTGTCTGTCACTCCGAAAGCCCTCCGAATATACTTCCATTCCTCAAACCTCTCTCTCGAACCCCTCACACCTCCTCTTTGCCATCTTCTAATTTTCCCCCAAAAATAAATGAGTGGCCATACAAAGTATTTTCAGTCTAATATTTATTCACTTGATGCAAATGGAGATTTCTGCGACTTTTATGTGAGGCACGGCAACAATTCCAGCGTCGAACATAACGAGAGGTTCTAAGCGCCTCGCAAGGTCGCCAAAATGCACGCTAAAATGCTAAAGTTTTATGGGGAAATCAGTGCTGCCTGCGCACAAGCGGACAAGCACGAGGTCGCGGTGCGGTGCGACAGACGTAACGTCAAGCGTTGCGTTGCATCAATCAGACTGACGTTGATCGACGGGTGCGAGGACGGACGCTGAGGTGGAAGCCATCTCTAAACAATGCCCCTCTTGTCTGCATTTTAAACGTCCACCCTGAATTCCAAATCTCGCTCCTCCACTTATCTGCAAAAATGTATGCAGCCAAGTGGTTCCCGCCATCGGAGACTTTAAAGAGTGCAAGAACGGAGGGAATCTGCTTACCGCAGCCAATTTTGACCGTATTATGTAGATAGAAGCTACCATTTAGATAGCGTCGAGCAAAACAGTCAAATCTACTTTGTGGTGTATCAGAATTTCATCTTCTTTTTTAAGTTTATGGAAGGAAACCAAGCAACATTTTCGCGTAATTTTTTTTTGTGGAAAGTAACTACTACATAAGGGTACTACGAAAGTAACTACCAAATAAAATTGCAATAATTTTCGAGTAGGGATGTTGCTTTGTTATCGTTCAAAAAATTAAAATGAGAGATGAGTTTTTGAAACACCACAATGCAGATGCGACTGTTCTGCTTAAATCTGTCCATTTCTGACTCATTCACAAAAGCACCAATCTGCAAAGTGTAACTGATGGTACATTCGTCGTTTCTGAAATAGAGACAGTACTCATTGGTAGTTCCTTTTCGGCGTAATGTAGTCCGTTAAAGAAATAAAGACAGATAATGGTATTGCAAGGCAGTGTCATGGAAAAGAGACCTCCTCCATCCAGTAAATCACTTTCGGTGCTGAAACAATAGTAGAAATATCGATGGTAGAATATCGAGTCTGGAGCATGCTGAAGCTGCTGAATATTCGGTGTTATATGAAAAGGGAGTGAAATCTACTGGAGAGCGGAGTTACAACAATATGTATAATTTGTTATACCCATCAGGGGTCTAATGGAATTATGACAGCAGAGTTGCCAATTCTCAAGAATTGCCACAGCGCCAGAAAAGAGACTTATTTTTTTCATGCCATGGAATAAAAATTTGAAACCGGAGACCAGTTTTTTCATTGGAAGGATCTCCTCTTTAAAAGTAAAGTACCGAAAGTGCATATTTATGGTTAGAATGCAGATTAAGATTGTGACTTTTCAAATTTGATATTTCAGGCACAAGGGTGTGAAGTTTGTCGAGCGATTATCCGCGCAACTGAGAGAACCTTCCCTCAGCTGAATGCTCAACCAAGACTGCCGATTTACCTTGGCGGTGAGTGGGTCAGTGGGCACTGTGAGACTAGGCCTTTAGGCACCTTCTTAAAGCGACGACTGCAAGTCATAGCCAATACATCTACTTGGCAAGTTGACTATAGGTGAGAGTAATCAATACACGATAAAATTAGAAATTATATGCTGCGACAAAGCATCTTGCTGTATTTCTTAATTCAGGGAAAAAATCTGTGTCGTAAGCGGCATTTATAATAATCACCGGCAATTTTCAAGCTGTTTAGTATTTGTAAAGGTACATCGCAATAGCGCGCATACAAGCATAGTAAAGATTTGATGGGTACCGGGCATCAAAATTATAACCTCGGATTGGAGCGCCTTCATTTTTTGTGATACTCTACGCTTTGCTACGGAGCTAATTTAGTTGTTTGTCCGATCTGAACCCAACTGAGGTCGTAGTTTTCACTACAAGTTCTTCTGAGTGTGCCTGTTACGTCCATGTTTTTACGAGGAGAAGTGTGTGTTCTCATTAAAGGCAAAATAATAGGACTCAAATATTTTTCATTTATTTCTAAATATGCTTTTCTATTCGTTCACTAGTGGCTTGCAAATTGCCCGGCGATTGCTAACTGTGTGCGACATACATACAGAGACGGAAAAACGACTCTGAGGCCGCACGGATAAATAAATCCGTGTTATCACTTACGTTCGGTTACTTTTCTTTCGACCGATTCAACCAAAACGATTTGGTAGAAGTTTTAATATTTTAAGTATACTAATGATTTATCATGCTTTTCTGCATGAACAAACTCAGACACAACATCCCTTTCAATTTATATCTTTGGTTTTAAAATATTTTGCTGCATGACTTAATAACCACTGGCGTTACGACTGTCCTATTATATTGAAATCACTTTTGAATAGGTCATGAATGAGGTTTAGTAAGAGGAAAAACAAGTTCGTTTTTTTTTTTTAAATTTTTTTTTATATTAGATTTTGAAGGAAAGTAAAACTTTAAAGCCCACGTTCCTCAATTCTAACTTGATATGCTGACGAGTATCCACTCTACTACTTAACAATAAGTAAGGGCGGCTACTCCTCCTCAGTGGCGTAACATACTGTGGCGAATGAGCATTCATTGTTTTTTGTCTTCTTTAAATCGGATTGGTATTTTTCCCCAGATTTTACTCTGATATGGCTTGCTCTGCTCCCACCCTGACTGCTACTGCTTCGGGGTATTTTTCTACTGGATTGCCGTCGATGGCAGTGCAAGGAGGCACGGAATTCGATTTTCATGTCCAAAAGGCGTACATTATGCTTTTTGATGAGGGGCTTGTGCACACTTTGCAGAATGACCCACGATGTGGCACACCTGGAACTTGGCGGGTGAGCATCTCCTCAGTTATCAAAATCCATTAAAACTAGTAGCGATTCTTTAAAGTTGGTAACGTTGTTTTTCCTCCATTTAAATGTACGTAAAACAATCGATTCTCGGTGGGGCAGCTTGCCTCACCTAAAATCAATATATTTAGTGGATTTAAATGGAGGAATAATACTGTCGTGCCAAGGAAAAACGCCGTATGAGCCTTCAGACGTTGCCAAGTTTCCTGCGATACAAAACAAATTTACTGGGAAAATTGCGAATATTATTTTCCAAAATTTTCGGACGATTTTGTACGCAATTTAATCTAGAGTATCTGAATATTTCAAAGAAAAATATGCATAAATGTTGTCCAAAATGCATGTTTTATCAAGGGAAATTTGGCAACTCTTGAATGTTCATACGGCGTTCTTCCTTAGCACGGCAGAATAGTTGTTGCAACTTCCAACATTCGCCATTGACTAAAACTTACTAATGTTTTTACAGAGGAAGAATCTTATTCAAATAAGTTATGGGTCATATTTTATTTTTTTAAGACAAACAGACAAATTGAAAAAAAATGTAGAACAAGTTTTAATCCTCTTTGATTACGTGGTAAAAATCGATGCATGCATTGTATATTGCCTACTTAGTAATTGAAAGGATTTCTCTTATTGAAATTTATTGCAATAAAAGTAAAATAAGTCGCTCTTTTCTTTGCATTGTAAATTGCCTATCTCTCTAAAATGTACTCATGGATTTTATTGATCGTTAAAATTTGACACTGATTATCGATCAAATTATGCAAAAATATTGCACTTTGAAAGGAATTGAAATTTTACCGTAATGTTTTGCAATCAGCTTCCTAAGTATCGATGTTAATTTTTATACGTGAATTCGAGATGAAAAATTGTTCGACGTATTTTGCGTGCTATCCGGCTAAAGTTTGGAATCTCATTTCATAATTATCATCAAAACGCACATTTCCGAGAAGGGCTGAAATTAAGTTGGAGGTCATGCTTGAATTTTTTTGCCGCCATTTGACAGTCGCGTTTTGAGTGAATTCCGCTGAAAATGCATTAAATTTTTCTCTTTCTTTCGAGGAAAATCAATTTACTCTGTCTGACTATCAGGTTGAAAAAACAAGCGTTACTTTATAAAAAAATAATCTCACAGTAATAAATGGTACAAAATTATTGCAGCATCCATAGTACATCGAATATAGATTTTTTAATCCACTCATCCTCTTCGTGCCCCGTCAAATTTTACCTGAGCACGGCGCAAGACCGCGCCTTTTCGAACAGGTAGCAAACGGATAAGCGTCTCATTTAATCTTTATGTAACGATTTTTTACTTCAAAATGAGTCCATTGTGCACGAGAGTTACAACCAATTAATTGGATTTGTTTCTCTATAAAATTGCGCACGAAAATCATGTGAAGTGCATCTGAAATGTGTTAGACACTCTTAGTGCGTTGTGCGTTTAGTTCGTAAAGCAGGAGTTTTCAAATTCACTGCGCCCTTGGGCTTTTCTTGCTGGGTCATCGGCAGCCTGTTTTATCTACAAAGATCTGAGAATATTATGGAATCTGATATGGAAGATATTTCATAATTTTCCATAATGTGTACGAAATTATAATTACATGGTGTCCCTCAAGTTCTCTTTGATACTTCCCGGTAAGGGATTAGAATCATAGGAAATTTGCGTGATAACACTGTCGCTCCAAGAAAAACATCGTAAAAATATTGGTATTGCAGAATCTTCCGCGAGAAAATATTTACTTTGTTGGAAAGTTCTGCATATTTTTTCTTAGAACTCCAGGCATTTAAAGAAAATTCACGAGTGAACGTCTCTGAAAAATGGGAAGAAAAATGTACAAAAGTTTGTTCACGAATTCCTATTTTATTGAAGTTAGTAGTGCAACGTCCGGAGGCTCAGACGACGTTCTTCCTTTTGGCCAGTAGCAATTCTTAAATGTTGGCAACACTGTTTTCCCTCCATTTAAATGTATGTAAAACAATCGATTCTCGGTATAAGGCACCTTGCGTCACCTAAAATCGATATTTTCAGTGGATTCAAATGGAGGAAATACAGTGTTGCCGACTTGCAAAATTGCCACTGTCTATAGCACGGCATAACAGGCCTCGTTCAAGCCGCAGTATCTACAATCCAACTGTCCGCCATCCGTTGATTCAGGTCATTTTCAAACGCCTCCGGCGACAATGCATTGATACAATCCTCCATCTTGTAGAAATATCCAGACATTGGAAGGTCATATCCTGGAGAGGTTTTCATGAAGAAGGAGCATTTCCACGTCCAACCATCCGTCGTTTCGTTTAACCATGGCCATGGACGCCATGGTTGACACATACCTATGAACGCATCGCCACACGGACCGCGCCATTTCCTCATGATGTTCTTGAACTCTGCGAGCGCGATCGCACATTTGCTGCCACTTTTTCGCAATACGACTTCATCCGAGTTGCAAGTGTCTTCATTCACTTTTTGGAGGAGGAAGTTCTTTTTTTGCCTGAAGAATTCAACCTAGAATTGAGATACAGTGTACATTACTATACTGAAAAAAAAGTCAAAGGCTATATAGAATATACATACCGTCCGTTTCGGGCTCTGAGGCCAAACCTTCCGGGTGCTGGAGCCGTAGCACCGGGTGATACGCCCGGAACTTTCGGTCTCTGAGCCCGAAACGCGGACGGCATGTCTGTATAGCCGGTAAGTACGGCCTCCGCGGCCGGAATTTTGTTTTTAGCGAATCTGTTGAATTTAAGTCATTCAATTTCTCGCTGCGGCAAAATAAAATTCAGTAGACTCTTGATTTTCCGACACTCGATTATCTAACACCTCTGTTAACTGACAAGATTTTTTCACCGCTGAAGCATGGTATTTCCGGGCACTACAAGAGGCTTTCGTTATGACTGCGAGCAGGCAAGCTTTCTAAGCTAGCACAAACATTTAGTCTCCCGGGTTTTAATTTTATTATTTTATACATAATATTCTTTTCCGATGCCTACGGAACGCTCATAAATTACGTAACGCACTTTTTCAACATTTTCATTTCCCCTTTCCCCCTTGTAGCGCTTTTGTGATGTAGGTCCCTATCTTTCAATACGTAAAAGCAAAATGGGGTAACGCTCTTCTTGACCCCTCCATCCCCCTATACTGCCGTGCTAAGGAAAAACGCCTAATGGACATTCGAGAATTGCCAAATTTCCCCCGATAAAACATGTATTTTTTTTTTAGGAAAGTCATGCTTATTTCCTTGAAATTTTCAAATATTTTAGATTAAATCGCAAACAAAATTTTCTGAAAATGTTTTATAAAAATATGCACAATTTTCCAGGTAAATTTGACTTTTATTGAAGGATATTTGGCAACATCTGTAGGCTCATACGGCGTTCCTCATAGGACGGCAGTATAGCGTTACGTAATTTGGCTTTAACTGATGGTGACTACATGACCAGCTGAAACATCTCTGAATTTTAATAACCCTGCTTAACCTGAAGCGTCAGTTCTCGTTTCGTTTTTTTCTTTGCCTTTGTCTTGGTTGCCTTGATTTCGTAAATTTTTATCTTACGTTACCGTCATTTGTTGGTTGCCCGGTTTCATATGGATCCCCTGAAACTTTCCGATCACGTCCAGCATGCCGGGGGTGTCGGTCGTGAATCTGGCGGGGAGGTAGTGCGCGAAGGCCGGTTGAAACTGCGGTGGTTGGAGATTCGGTGACGTACTTCGGGGCCGCGGGACGAGAGGGCAGTGAGACTCTATAGTACGACCCTGCGAAATTTGGCTGATCCCTGATTGGATGCGGCTTAGAGTAGCGAGGGTTGCCGCTTTACGCTTCGAGCGCGTGTTCCGCGGAACCCGAGCAGGAACGCACCGGGTCTCCTCGATCAGCACCAGACAAACGATCAGCCAGAGCAAGAGTCGAATCGTGGTTATAGGCATCGCAACCTCACGGCTCAAACGTTGGATCGCGGACTGACTTTTGACGAATTTTTAAAAAAGAGGATACTCAAAAAAATTGATGCGAGGGGAGAATAAGTCATAGAGGAGCGGGGAGGGCAGGGGAAACTATTTCATATTCGAAATAAAAAGGGAGCATTTACGCCGATTGGATCATGATTGCAGGTCGCATGCAAGGAGAGTGCCGTGAAAAAGAATATACTGTCGTGCTAAGGAAGAACGCCGTATGAGCCTTCAGACGTTGCCAAGTTTCCTTCGATAAAAACCAACTATATTCGAAAAATTGTGAATATTTTCCCCCAAAATTTTCAGACAATTTTGCATGCAATTTAATCTAAATTATCTGAAAATTTCATGAAAAAATATGAATGAACGTCGTCGTAAATACTTGGTTTACTATCGGGGATTTGGTAACTCTCGAATGTTCATACGGCGTTCTTCCTTCGCACGGCAGTTCGTTCCGCTGTATATTCGACGCATTTTATAAATTCACAAGGTTCTGAGAAATAATTACATTTTTTCAGTTGAAAAAAATCTCAGATCCGGATTATTTTTAAGTAAATTTCCCCCTTTTTCGATCCTTACTTTCCTCAACCAACTTTGATATTGCAGGTATTCAAGTTGACATTTTTTTCAAATTTAAAACACACAGTTGGTTTCAAAACTGCGTAAAAACATTCCAGTAGGTGTTCCTTAGTAAATTTCACAGTGTTACTAACAAATAAAACCATATTATTTGCACTTTTGATTTATTTGCGTGATTATTCGACGTTTATTTTGGGCTTTAGGAGCTCCACAAAGTCTACTCGGAGCGAAAAAACTTCATGCATGGGACCTTAAGTTGATGTCAAATGGATCTCCGAAGTTTTCGTTTCGAATTGAGGTCCAGCCTCCAAAGTCCAGGCCGCACATCTGAGGTACTTCAGTGCTTCGGTCGAAACTGCTGTTGAGTCAACCGCAGTACCGATGTGCTTACTACGGATGTGTGACCCGAACTTCGGCAGCTGGACTGTAAGTTTGTGGATGCAGGATCAGAAAACTTCAGATGTCTCTAAAACTTGACCGTCAGGTCCCTTTGGCAAAATTTGTTTCTTGCCTTGTACACGGAGAAAAAAACTTCGAGCATGGGACCCAAAGTTGAGGTCATATGGATCTCTGAAGTTTTCTGATCACCGCATCCGAAAACTTGAGGTCGAGCTGCCGAAGTTCGGGTCAGACATCGAGGCACTTCGGTATGTACCGGAGTACTTCAAATGTGTGACCCAAACCCTTCGGTATGTATCGAAGTACTTCAGATGTCTAACCCGAACTTCGACAGCTGGACCTCAAGTTCATAGATACGTGATCTAAAAACTTCAGAGATTCATATGACCTCAACTTCGGGTCCCACGCACGAAGTTTTTTCCTCCGTGCGGATGTTGAGAAACAAGTTGGGTCCAAAAACTGGCAGACATGATGAAAATGCTCAATACTGATAGGGACGAATTTTCTTCTATCAACAGGCAACGTCTACTTTTCGGTGCTTAACTTGTCAATATTTTCGAAAATGTTTATTTTTCCCGATTCTGAATGAATCGACGATTCTACCGATTTCAACCATCATCTCGCAAAATAACGGATGGCCGGCCGAACTTCGGCAGCTCGACCTCAAGTTTTTAGGTACGTGATCCGAAAACTTCAGAGATCCATGTGATCTCAACTTCGGGTCCCACGCACGAAGTTTTTTCTCCGTGAAGGTGGTTGGGCCAATCACGAGTGGAATCTTCAGTAGCCGTGCTCTTTCTATATAGGTTAGACTAGTAGTCACTGTCACTGTCTAGTAGTCCATTCATATATTGAGGTAAACATCGTTGATTGATTTTCAGACGGGAGTCATGCACGACCTAGCGCCCTCGAACGGATGCGTGACCGTGGGGATCGTTGTGCCGACGACGGTGTACGAGCTGGTACGCCTGGAGATCAACTCCAACGGGATGCCGCTCCTGTTCATGGGTCAGCCGGACCCGGATGACGCCCCTGTGAGTGTCCGACACAGGCCCACCAGCTACCAGCCTCCTCTCATCCAGTGCGCCAGCCAGCTACCCCCTTACACCCACTTCATCACTGCTAGATCCAGCTCAAGTCGCCGGCAAATCACCTGTGCCCTAGTCTTCTTTCAGCTCATCTATGTAATATGCAATGTATAATCGTCGCTCCTCAGCGGGTGGATTAATGGAATTGATGCACAAAGCGATAGACAAAGAATACAAATGAGAATGGAGCGATCCTATTGGTTGAAACGCATGTTTCTGATAGAACGAGGGAGATAATAATAGACTAACTATAGGGTCGAAGAAGTTGCTTGATTGGGTTCCTCCTGGGAGGAGACAAAGGGGACGCCCAGTGAAAGGGTGGCGACAGGGGGTTTTAGAAGGAATGAGGGTTTGCCAACTCCCGGAAGGGCTTTGGGAGGATAGGGGACTTTGGCGGCTAGGGGTCGCAGAGCGCCAGAGAGCGCTATAAAAGCGGCTTTGTACATACATACATACTGCTCTTATGGGTTGCTGTTAGTTATTCTATTTATTCTTTGTCCACTTCAACCACTCACTTCGACAGGGTTGCTCCATTTTCTCTGCCCTCTTTGCCTATCGCTCTGACTGTCGATGTAAAAAGTGTATAATAATTGTAATAATAATCAAAGTAAATTCCCGCAGTCGAAAGAACGTAACTACATTGCATTAATGCAAACTTTCTATTCCCAAACTGTATTTTCACCTAATAAAATAACAACTTAATTCGAGGAAAAGGCTGCAAAAAAACAACAAAGGATAACAAAAACTCGGAAAGTTTCAAAATATTAACAAATTCATTTTCAACCGGGAAAAAGTGAGCCGTCGATTCGCTGTTATTGCGAGACTGAGACTGATTACAAGGTAAACAGACTCGGCACAGTGCAGCAAAAAAAGTTAAGTTGTTTTTAGTTCGTTAGGCGTCCCTGACTGACAATTTCAGAAATCGATGGCTATAAAGAGCAAGAGAGAACGTGCCTCCGTTTGTGAAGTTCCAGACTTTCAATCATATTTATCTTCACTATGGACGACTTATTAACTGCTATCAGTTTTCTTATCTGTTGGCAGACTATTCTGTATGAGGTTCGAGGTATAATAGTTGACTGGTTCCTCCTCGAAAGAATAAAATAAAATTGGACATTTTGAAACACCGCAACGGAGGTACGTGATTCTGCTCTGTTGCCATCCCAGAATCGGCCAAAATTTCGGACAAAAATTGCATGGTCATATTCTTGTAAACAATTAATTTTTGAAGTCAAATTTGCAACCTTGGAATGGAGTTACGTGCTTTTTTGTAGGAAACGACGCAATGTGTAAAAAAATAATAAGATTCAAAACTTAACTTATCTGTGATAATAAATGAACTTCAATTTACTAAAATGTGATATTAAGATTTCTGATGTAAACTATAAAGTTTAGGGCTGTAGATGTCGAGTGGATTCTCTCCTTCTTAAAGGAAAGAACATTTGATTTTTCTTACCAGAAAGATCTGTCTTGCATTTTAAACATCTTACGAAGACAGACAGGATCCACCAACGATGCAAATGTGTCAAGTAGCAATACCTCAACAATTAAAAATTACTTTTTTGACGCATTAAACAACCTTTCATACCGGCAGGACTACTATTTCAATCCTGAAACGATTGAGTACTGCCAGTTTTTTTTCATTCAATGCTTCTTTCAATATATTGCTTTCTTAGGTATCGAAATGACTTTCTTCAATGACAGCCAGCAAATAGTTATTTCAGTGTTTTCCTATGTATAATATAAGTATTTTTAGTGAGTGCGGAAAATAATTTTTTAATTATTTTTTATAGGCGGACTAGACATCTATGACTGAATCTATCCTAAACATCAGATATATACAGATGTAAATACATTTAAATCAAATTCTTTATGTGATTTTAAATCAAAATTGTTTTAATTCTCCTATTTTACTTTTTTCTTTTTTATTTAATGATTTAACTTGGATTTAACGAGGTAAGGTCAATCAGTCTTGATGAAAAGGCCGTGGAGGAAAAGAAGGCAAATTTTAGATATTTATTTAATTGTTTTGATAGCTAAAGTGCAGAAAAACGTAAGTTATCTCCGAAACGTCTTGTTAAATTTACTACCTCGAGACTCTTCAGAGATTCGTTGTGTTCATACAGAGTTAGCAGGAGAACTGATTGTGAGTTGTTGGTTATGTCATGGAAGTATACAAAATTGTATTACAGAAGATTGAAGGCGTTTTATCTACCTTTTTCCTTTAGTTCGCACTTAAATCTGAGCCAACTGATTCTCATATTGTCAGTCCGGCATTGGCACAAACATAGACGTATTTTTTATCGCGTAACTCTAATCCATTCTTTTACTATGAAATCATTCTGTTTTATAGTTTGCTTTACTTGATTTATGACATATTTTCATTGCTTTATTCCACTGAAAAAAAAAAAAAACTGCGGGCGTGAAAGACGTCGATCATTATGAGTTTGTTTATGCAGGAACTTTAACAAAACTTACACTTAATGCCATTTGTTTTTTAATTATGAGCACAGACTTTTGTGCTAAAATACAAAAAAGATTGTTGACTATATTGTAAATAATAAATACCAGAGAGACAATTCTTACTCATTTATGCGCACGAGCACAATCTTTCTCCGAGAAGGAAATCTTAACAGTTGGCAACTGCAATCGCCATTGGTTGAATAAATAATCACTAATAACTGGTTACCGATAACTGGCAAGAATTTTTCAAGGCAAAATTATTCAATTTTTATCTACTTCTGGAACTTGTGAACGTGTAGACTTTGTCCCGAGGACTGTCATTTTGAGTTCATCTGATGTCATACTCAGTTCTGACGTTTCACCACGTTGGTCGTGGGATTAAAGTAATGCACGGGGGAAAACGTAAAGAAAAAAACCTAAGCGTATTAGCTGCTTCTTCTTTTTAGTCGTCATTTTGCTTGTAATTGGGAAACCAAGCGGTGAAGGATTAACACTTGGATAGGAGAAGGCAATAAGGACTGACGTGCTAAGTAAGAACGCTGTAAGAGCCATCAAGCGTTACTAAATTTTCTTCGATAAATCACGCGTTTTCAGGAAAATTTGTGAGTATTCCTTCTCTGATTTTTCAGAAGTTTTCGTTCGTAATTTGATCTAAAAGAGGCTGCAAATTTCAAGGAAAGTTATTCACAATTTTAAAAAAAAAAAAAAATGTCAAAAAAGAAATTTGGTAACATTCGAATGCTTATGCGTCGTTTTTACTCAGCACGACGGAGAGGGGTCACAGCGTGACATGCACACACGTGACAGGCATTCGTTTCGACAGGTGGACTTTTAGAGGGATGAAGAGGCATTATGAACGTGAGAGATGCCATCAAGGTAAATAGAGAGGGTGGTTTAGCGCTAGGAAAACCATTCATTCTTTTTTTTCAGGCGATGTCGGCTTCATATTATTTTAAGGGCTTTAGGGTTAAAAATTATCGTGACTTTTTTAAAATTTTGGTTCATTATTGCAGACATTTTGTTGCAAAAAAAATGGTTGGGACGATACTAGACTGCATTCACAAGGACAGCCCTTTAGGGTCAAATTTGGGATAAGTAGGTATGAGGTTTAATTCGCAGCTTGTGACATGGTCTAGATTTTAACTAAACCGTGAAGTTTGCAAAAATTTGTACTTTTGACACTAATTTTCCTCGATTTGACACGCCAGTAATCTTTACAATGGTCTCACCTGAATTGTTTTGTAGTTTAATAATGCTGAGTTCAAGATGGTTATCGGAGCATCGGATTTAGTGGGGGAAAAAGCTGAGAGCTCTGAAATTATTTGTACAAATCTAATTCAGATAGTAGGTACAGAAAAAGTCGTCAAAATTTTTTCCCCTTCACAAATCGGTATGTAGGTATTCGAAATCAAAACGAATCCTGATTAAGAGCGATGTGCAGTTATGCACCTTTATGATGTTTAAAAGTAACATTTGCAGCAAAGATACATGATTTTGTACAAAAATTCTCGAAAAAGTCAGTTCGGTTGAAAATTTCATGTGCTGCAAATGGGTCACAAATACTTTCATATTAGTTCACGTTTGCCAGGTATAACTCTTTTATAGAATGTTTAAGGTAAAGGAAAAAAGTAAAAATGCATGGATATTTTTGCTTTTATTTTATTCGGGATAAATTTTGATTACACGAACAGCAATTGTTGCTGTATCGATGTTGAGCCTAAAAGTCTTGAGGACAGAATACTCAGATATTCATCATTCTTCTGTCTTTGTCCGAAAATCCTTCCATCTGCTGCAAACAAAACCAAAAAGAACTATTAAAAATCAATTTCTGCATATGATAGCGCAGAAATGATTAAAACAATTTTCTTGAAAAGACAAAATTACATAAAATCCTAAAATTACCAGAAAAATATGATCCAATTTTTAAAAAGCTTATTAATACTATAAAAGCACAATAAAACGCTCCTCTGAGTCGCATTCGTTTCATAATGTAAAATTCAAATATTTGCTTTGCGATATATCGCTTGATCTGCTATTTAAACCTACGGAAAAGGATCGACAGACAGGGAGTTCCGTTTCACAGCATTTCCGTTTGACAGAACGCGCTATCCGGGATGCTAAAATCCTCAAAAGGAACTCAATTTGGCGCTCAGTTCCGTTTAACAGAAATACGTCCAAATATAGATAAATGGATAGACTTTGTAGTTGTAAAATCGTCCATAAAATATGATGACCACATCAAAATTATTTTGAACGCAGGAAATTGAGATGAAAAATGATACGGACTATGAAAATTGTGCATTGAGGAGGTGCTAGTACTTTTCAGACTCCGTTTGCGGCCTTATCAATATTTTCATGCAATTTTCCCTCAAATATGCTTTTTCACTTTCATCTACATTTTGTGTCCTACAAATATTTTTTGTTGTTAAAATGTGCGGTGAAATACCTGTATCACGCGATTAACGTAAAGAGCCCTCAAAAAAATTCATCGATGGAATTGTTGACTGTTAGCCCCCTAAAGATCGTTCTCGTTGGCCCGAAGATCTGCTTTGAAGGTAATTGATCAGCTCAGATTTAGAAATTTTCAAAAGATTTCGTGCAAAACTGGCTGAGGTATTGAAAAATTAGTGCCACTTTGAGAACTCTATTTAGATCGTTTGATACGGGCCTGAAGCTTCAATTTTGATTTTTTCATACCAGCCCATCTCATGACATTAGTAATATTCTAAACTAACCGGTTTATTTCAGATGAGAGGCTTCGGTGAGGAGCTTATAAGGAGATGATGTCGAAGGATGTCCTCTCCTTTCCGTTGAGGGTGACAACATCGAAAGCAACGCGTTCCTTTCCGTTGAGGGAGACGATGTCGACAGCGTTGCGTTCTTTGCCGTTGAGAGCGATGACTTCGAAAGCGACGCGCTCTTTTCCGTTGAGGGAGACAATGTCCATGGCGTTGCGCTCTTTGCCGTTCAGGGCGACGATGTCAATGACGTTCTTCTCTTGTCCGTACATGGTGATTGGTTTTGGTTTTTTGGGAAACTGGAACGCAAATTTCGAAAAGAGATTCTTACACAAGAACAAGAGCAATTTTCATAATAAATCGTAGACTCAAAGGTTTAAACAAGACTCATGGAAGTTTTGTGAGGAAAAGGAGAAAAAATCTAAAATATGAAAGTATTTTCAAAACAATTATCTGATGAATTCATTTTTTCACGTATTTTTTCGCGCACATTCTACCCAAAAACTTGAGGAAACTCAAGAGAGCTAGACACTTTAGTTAGTAGGGAACCAACTCTGCATGGTTTCTTTCTTTGAATTAATCGCTCGTTGTGTTTTCAGAAGTTGAGAAAAAGGTCTTGAAATTTTAAAAAAAATAATGATTTTTTTTTTTTCAGTAAATTTGATTTTATAGTCAGCCATAGATAACGAAAGTGTCGGTTTTTATTTCGATACAAAAACTTTTTCTTATGAAATATAAAGAAGTAATTCTGTTAAACATGTGTTCCCAAACTTTGCATCATTCGCTTCATCCCTCAAAAAAATTATAATTGAAAAAGCTTAATATGGCCTGAATGAATTCCTGGATGACTGATAATGTTTCTTACAGAGACGAATGCATTTATATTGTATTCTTTTGTTTCAATCTTACAATGTCTCATATTGCTGCCAATTTAGTAATGTGTGTACTTGTCCTAGTGCAATGAATTTATTTTGAAAATTCGACGCGTCGCTAAGTCAACTTGCATGGCTAGTATACGCTAATTTGAAAAAAAAAATACAATAAACTTCTCCGACAAGCAGAAGTCTCTTTTCCCGAAGAACTTAGTTCCTCTCTGTTAGGCTCGACCCACTTGAAGACAATAACACACCAACGGAATATTCGTGTCTGAATAATAATGTTAAGATGAACAAGAGAATCACATACCTGCGGAAAATGCAAAAGCTTGACACTTGAGAGAACTGATTTGACTTGCTACAGATCAAACGGTGTATATATACGCAAACTTGGGTCCATTATCGGATGGTAGTGTGGCGTGGTTTTAAGGGGAAAGATCGCGCCAGAGCCCACGCGAGCATCGCACGATCATCCGACATTCCACTCGACGCGCGCTTCGTTCCTCGCTTCTGTGCGCTGATAAGTCTTATCAAAATTATTTTTTCCTTCATGAATGGCAAACCCACACTGTTTTTACACCCAGAATGCGTTTATTTCATTTAAAAAAATCAGTATGTGCAGCGTTTAAATGTTAATGTCTCATAAAGTTAGAGTAGTGAAACCAATTGGACGTATTTCTGCGAAACGCAACCAAGTGCATCATGACGTGAGCCTTGTTATGAATATATTCTTGTGGATCTCAGGGCTCATGAGTTAATGCACATAATTCCGTTTGGCAGAAATACGTCCAATTGAGATAATTTTTAATTTATAATTAGGCCCCTGGAATATTTTAAGTCTCCTTCAATACCTAATTCTAGGAGGCATAGTGTGCATTACAGTTTGTATTTTCATCTTATTTACCGTGTCCCTTCGTAGAGAGAAAAATAATACGACGAAAAGTTCGTCGAGGCGGGGTTGGAAATCAACGGACGCCCTCTTCTAATAACTTCGGATCAGGGTTGAGAGATTTCACGCGAGATGGCAGCACCTGAACTTGAAGCTGAGGGTATCCCATACGAACACTTTCACCCTATTTTATCCCCTGTAACCGAGAGAGAGCGCGTGAATGAAAGAAAAATGCAGATGGTGAGACTCAAAAAACGTGAGTCTTGGTTTAGGTGTTGCAGAATTTTATGCATGCGCCCTGTTTTCTGTATTATAGGGAGCCCACGAAATTATTGCAAAGAATTTCCTGAGATTAGTTTTGATACGGCGGACAGAGATTTCATCGAGGTTCGATTGAAAGGAATGGATGATTTTGCTTTTACTATGAAGAAAGAAAGAACGACATAAAAACTCGACATTGAAACGAATGGATATGCTTGCCTCTAGATTTGCTTCAGCACAGTATCCCCAAACATAATTTTTACCACTCCTCTTCAAAACTTTGCAGGTAAAATTACTGAGTCTAGATAAATGTAAAATTTATGGACAGTACTTAGCAGAAAAATAAGGCTAATTGTAATTATGGTGATTCGACGGACGCCATTTTTTGTGTCAGAGCGACGTGCGATTCATCGCATCGATTCGTTCCATAATTTCAGTTACTTGTCATTTTTTTGAATTTTGAGATCGCACTTCTGTTTTCATGAGTCTAAAGAATCCATGTACCAAATTTGGCAAAGAAATTCAACGTGATAAAGGCGTGGTTTTTTTTCAGAGGAAAAATATCGCATTCGAGTGCAGTTTCGATATCAGTATCGAATGCGATATTTTTCCTCTAAAAAAACTACGCCTTTATTACGTTGAATTTTTTTGCCAAAGGTACAAGAGTTCTTCAGTCTCATGATAACAGAAGTGCGATCTCAAAATTTGAAACAAATGACAATTATAGCTGAAATTATGGAACGAATTGATGCGATATATGGCACGTCGCTCTGACACAAAAAATGGCGTCCGTCGAATCACCTTAAGTTAAGATGGAGAAAAATAGGTTTGTATGTTTATTTGTCCACATGACTCTATATGAAAATAAATTTTCACAATTTTATAATTTTTTCTCTTAATTCAGAAGTGGTAAAGTGGACAGCATACGGCCAGTTTACAGCTTATATCCACCTATTCATTGCCTGACTAATGTGAATTGCCTCTCGCCTGACAAAATCAATCCAAGCATGGATTGCGAAAGACAGTAGTCCATATTCTTAGTGCTGTGCGATGACTCCCTCAACCGTAGCAATTCTTTTACATGCACGAGTGATGAAATTTTGATGCGGAAGAAAGTATGGCATGCAGACTGATTTTTGATCCACGGTCGATTTATAGACGCAACATACGATTAATTCTTTTTCTTTTGGGGATAAACTATTTTCAGGGCTGCTCTCCATAGGTTCATACCAAAATCTTATATATGGTTGAGTGCGAGGACGGAACAGCAAGTACAATATATTTTCAGGTCCACTTCTCACGGAATTCAAGCCTTTCCACATACTTACTGAGCAGAGTGTCTAAAAGCCGATCGGGGCAGGAATAAGAGAAAGGATGGAGAGAGGAATTATTACTAATTTCAGAGACGAGAAAAACCGAAGGCATTTCTCATTTCGAGCTGCGGAAGGTGGAGCAGAGAGAGAAGCGAACGGAGGAGGAATTCCTTAATTCTAAGCCATGCTCAAACTAGCGTAAAGAAGTCAGAAACACTTAGGGTTAATTCTACAGGGACCGAGATACATGATGTAAGTCTTCGGCCACGCTGCGCGAGTGGTCGGGGGAGGAGGGGGGCGGCGGAAAAGTCCAGCCCTTTGTCGTGAGAAGGCGGGGGCGGGGGGTGGTTGAATTGGGTCATTTATCTAATTGCTGAGACAAGAAGCTTTAAGCAGGGCGCAGCGGAGTGATTGGCTTAAATTAAGCCTGGCTCTCTGCTATCGCTTTCCAGCTATCTGGACTAAGAACACCGTTCCAATTGTCTCTACCAATAACGATCAACGGATTAATGTGCCCTGCCTCCGAGGGGGTTCCAACCCCCACCCTCGCCCTCGATTAGTTTCCGAATCTGCGCGCTTTCCTTTTTCCGACGCTTGCCGAGGTCGTTTCGGCTTCTCCTGTCAGATGCGTGCTCGTGTGAGCTTTCCCTGCCCGCCCCGGGAAATGGATGCGTTTCCGCTTTCCCGTACTAAGAACCGACGCCGCGCCGTACGAACATTCAGATATTGCCACATCTCCACCGATAACTGGACGTATTTCTATCAAACGGAACTAAGCGCCAATTTGAGTTCCTTTTGAGGACTTTAGAATCCCGGATAGCGCGTTCTGTCAAACGGACCTAAGCGCCATGGAAAAGCATTGCGAGTACCTATAGGTCGGAATAAGCCGGACGCCCGATTCCGCCGCCAATCCAAGCCCCCTTCTACCTTCCTCACCCTATGGCGCTTAGGTCCGTTTGATAGAAATGCGTCCAACTTATTCACTCTTGAAAAATGTTGTGAAATATTTTGCCTTGAAATACACTCATGTTAGTGATTCAAATGCGGGTAGAATTCTTTGATTAACTGGGGAGGGGGGAGGATTCATATAGTATTCCTGTGAATTCGTGTTTTATCACAGGAAATTTGGCAATATCTGAAGGCTTATATGGTGTTTTTCTCGGCCTGGCAGCGTTTTTCGGTAGCGCTTCTCATTCTGAGCGAGACCCGCCGCGCATTTGCTGCCGGAATGAGTTTGTTTGTTTCGGGGGTGTTCGCTTTCCCGCGCTTTCCCTTTCGAATAACGCTGGAACCCGGTGACGTATGCAAGGGGGAATATAGAAGATAGATTTCCTCCCCCCCTTTCCTGTAATCCCCCCCTCCCCGAAGCGACGGGGGGATCGAGAGAGGCATTGCCCTCCTCGTTGTTGGAACGGAGGGAATCATGGCAACAAGCTCCCAAACGACTGTGAAATAACTGCACTGAATTTTGAAGTTTTAAAAAGATAACAGCAACTTTAAAATTTGGTACTTTGTCAAAAAAATGATATTCTGTTCTCATATCGAAGATGAGATTGAATCAATTTTAACCCTAATTTTCAGTCAAAGTTGCCTTAAATATCATCTGAGTCAATCTGTCATCTAAGAAATATTCGAAGTGTCGCGCCTTCATTTCGAGAACTATGCAACAAAAGCTCCTATGTGTTGGAATAATGGTATCCACACTGGGAAAAACCACATTGGATCTAGAGTCCAGACTCTTAAAAACATCGACAAGAAAAAACACTCTTGATTCAATCTGATTTAAGCTTAAATCAAGAACCAAGCCTCTCAATTTGAGCGGATTTCCTTTTGATTTAAGCTTAAATCTGATTGAATTAAGAGTCCTTTTTCTTGTCAATGTTTTCAAGAGTCTGGACTCGAGATCCAATGTGTTTTTTTTCCAGTGCAGGAGCTACATGTAGCTATATTCTTGCAATGGGAGTTTCGTCATTGTTGTGGAGTAGTTAAGTATGGGGGGTATGGGAAAACGCATTGCTTTGTTTTTGCTGGAAATGAACCGAGTTATCACCTCCATTCTAAAAGTGCGGAAATGAACACGAACATTATAAAGAGACGCGGTGGGCGGTGATGTTGCATCCAAGTAGAACGCTAGGTCAGAAGACAATGAATTGTCATGTGCGATTAATAATCTTCTTCTCTCCAGGGTCATCATGACGATATTTTCAAGACATAATTGAGCAGTCACCTCTCTGAGACAAATATTCGCGACGCGACTCCATTTATTTCCCTCTAGAGACCGGGAAAAGAAAAATTGCAAATTGGAAATATGAATCGGGAGTGAGTGAATAAAGTGAAATAATTGTGAAATAATCTCGGGAAAAAGAGGAAACAAGAGCGGATATAAACTAACTCAAAATAATTATCAGGAGGAGATCGCAAATTTCAACTTTAGCCATTTTTTCGCTCAGTTTCGAGACGAGAATTTTGAGTTTCGTGATCTGCCATCGAGTTCGACCGTACAGCCGTTTCAAGATACGCTTAGGGAGGGTTGACGGAAACTGCTTTTCATTGTCCAATGTGCGTTGAAATTTTGCGTCTTGTTTTTGAGCTGCATCGGTCGTTCAAAGTGTGAGGGGTGAGAGTGGCATCAATTATCGACTGCCCGGGGGGCATAATACTAGGGTTTTGGGCATTATACTGTGCAAAAGGGGAACGAATACACCCTTTTTCAGGACGATGCGATCCCAGAAAAATTAAAAGTTAACGGTCGTATTTGCAAGTATAGTGATAAAACAGCTAACCTAATAAACAAATTAACCTTTATAAAAGTATTTGTGCAATGATCAGAGACGGAATAAGGAAAATTACTGTAAATTCAGGGCCGGACTGGCCCGGATGGCGCGGTACAGATCGCCACCTCGGAGCCTGCTGGGATCCCTGGGCCCGGCTGATAATTATGATAGAAATGAAAAATAGAGATGGATAGAGTGACAAATAAAAGAACTGGAATTTCTT